CCATCCGCGCGTGGGCTGTCCTGCTGCCCTCCGGCTCCGCGGCTCTGCTCTGCTCCCCGTCTCCCTGGTCTGTAGACCAGGGGGACGGGGAGCAAAGCCGCGGAACACGCGTCTGGGCTGTCCGCTGCCCGCGTGCTCCGCCGCTTTGCTTCCTCTCCCTGGTCTGCTGGAGACCAGGGAGACGGCCTCGTTCGTAACTGCGGATCCGACTTAAGTCGGATCTGCGTAACTCGGGGACTGCCTGTATATAGGTAAAGAAAAAATCCCATCAGTCCAATACACTAGATCTGATTCCCCTCCACCCCCAACCTTCGTGTCACATTTCAACTATACAGAAGCCATTCAGGTTACTCAAGGGAGAATTTTGCACCAAAATTTAAAAAAAAAAAAAAAATCTGTGCAGTATTATAAAATTCTGCAAATGTTGTCAAAACTCCACATCATGCCCTTTCAATTATTCTGGTAATTTCAAAGATACCAGTTAGCAAAAATGCCTAACAATACAGCCAATAATTCCCCCTCCAAATAGCAATGGAACCTTACATGCCAGAATTCAACTACTCAATTGCTCATCGTTTTTAGTACAGGCAGTCCCCGACTTACGCGGATCCGACTTATGAACGGGGCTTTCTCGCCCCGGAGGTCGAGGTGGCGGATTGCTACCTGCGAGCTCCAGGGCGAGAGAGCCCCGTTCGTAAGCTGCTCCGGTGCCCCTGGTCTGCTGGAGACCGTCTCCAGCAGACCAGGGGCACCAGGCAGGTTCCCGCGCTTCTGAGGCTTTGCCCACCAACCCCTTCTTTGAGAAGAACCTAACAATTTACATTAAAATACAAGGTAATTCCTGATGGATCACAGCTGCTTGGATGCTCTTTGATTAGTCTCCTATGGGAAGTCAGGGACCCATTTTCCTTCCCTTAAGTAGTTGAAAAAAGTTTAATTTTATCACACCCTATCTATTTAATATCACTGAATATGTGACCAAGGAGGAATAAGTGAAAATGACCCAATACTTGCCTTTGAAATACTTCTGTAAGTTTCCTGGTATGTGTCTGCCTCAAAAGGAGGTTTCCCTACTAGAAATTCATAACAGAGAACCCCCAGGCTCCAAAGATCCACCTTTTCATCATGTGTTCTCCCTTCAATCATTTCAGGAGGCAAGTAATCAAGTGTACCACAAAGAGTTGTCCGCCTAAAACACACACAAATGATTTCATATTGAAGTTGGTGTTGTTTATGGGACATCATTTTCCATTTCTAGAGTCTCAAAATTATTTTACTAGTACCAGCTTCTACCAAGAATTTTTAGTTTCTCATATTTATTAATTATTTTACTAGTACCAGCTTCTACCAAGAATTTTTAGCTTCTCATATTTATTTATCTATCCAGTTAATTCAAGTAGAGAATATTAACTTTTAGATACCATCCTGAGGACAACATTGTACTGATAATGTGTGTTGTTACACAATGAAGTGCATACGTTCATATTGTATCTGGTGCGCACTTCAAGTTTCAATACATTGGACAATGACAGAGGGAGCAGATCTGTACTCTTCAATTAACAATGGAAATCCTACTGTTCTCCCACTGCAAGCAAGACTCCAAATACACTAAAACTGCTTTCTTGCTACTCTCTGCACCAGCACATTGAAGGGGATTAGGATGAAGGTAGGCTAGTGAGATGTAAAACTGGGCAAACCAATCAGTTTTGGGATTCTCTGAAATAGCTTGTATATTTCTAGACACACTGCAGTTGTGGGATTCACACACCATCCTTCTGCTATTAGTGCTGTGACAGTGTAGTATGTTTAATGCATACAATTTTAGATTTTATTTAGAGCCAGGAAGCTTTGTGCTGATAGAGACAATAGGGTATTTAGTGTGTGAATTCTTACCTAGATGATGGAGCATGCACAGACCATCCAAAGTCAGCAATCTTCAACTCTCCGTTTGACCCAAGTAGCAAGTTTTCTGGCTTGATGTCTCTATGAATTACTCTTTTTGAATGACAGTATGATAGAGCATCTGCCAATTCTGTCATATACTGTAAAGAGTGATCCCAAGAAATAGCATGCATTAAAGACATAGTAACCTCTTCAGCTTAACTGTTAGAAGCTGGTGTCCTAGACATCCTCTGTGAAATTGACAATGTTGTCAGTTTCAGCCCAATAAGGCCTATATTAACATTTTCTACTAAGTTATTTCACCCTTTTAAATCCAGTTGGCTATTTAATGCTGTGCTCTATAGCATACTCCCCACCTCTGTACTAGGGATGTTATTGGATAGTCGACTGTCCAATAAGCATTTATCATCTGATAGTCTCTCGACTAGTCGATTCTCCCGCCCCCTTGCTGCCTCTAGGAGACAAGAGGCAGCAAAGGAGGGCAGAAGGTGTACTTCAAATGGCAGCTCTGCACAACTGAGCCGGGATCAGCTGTGCAGCGGCTGCACCTTTGAAATGCCGCCTCCACATTTCAAAGGAGGCAGCTGGGGATTCCCCAGCTAACCCCAGGTTCCAGGGAAACGCCACATGGAACTGGGGTCAGTAGGGGAGTCCCCACTGACCCCAGGCTCCATGGCTTTGAAATGCACAAGAGCATGTCCCACTGGGGACTCTTGTACGTTTCAAAGCAGGAACTCCTGTGCAGCCCAGAGCATGTCCCACTGGGGACTCTTGTACATTTCAAAGCAGGAACTCCTGTGCAGCCTGGAGTCAACGAAGTCAGTCCTGTACAGCTTGCCCCGGGCAGTACCTGAGGACCATCTCCAGCAGACCAGGGACACCGGGAGCAAAGGAGGCGGAAGGGCGCTGGGGTATAAGATGAAACCCTATCTTTTAATTAAAAAGATAGGGGGTCGTCTTATACGCCCAGTCGCCCTATACACCGGAAAATACGGTAGCAACTAATAGTGAGCAGTCATGATGCACATGACTAACTTCCCAGACTATTCCTAAATATTTAACTTCAAAACTAAAGATTAAATCATCAGTTTGGCTCTTATCTACCAAAAAGTCATGGACTTTAGCAGGGTTAGCTACATGAGTGCAATACCAGTTTTAATATAAAGATCTCACTTCATACTTCAAATATTAACTGTATTAGCAAAGTTGGTGGATGATAAAAATGCCCTATATACACCTACAGTAGCAGTTCTCTGCTCATCAAACTTGGTTAGTTTCTGCAACTCTTTGTAGACTTCTCCACGAGGTGCATATTCTAGAATTAGGTAGACTCTTGTGGCATCATGGAAGTAGCCATACATCCTGAGAATATTGGGATGCCTGCAAGAAAACATGTATATATGTTCTACACAAAGACATTTCTATACAGACATATAAAATATGTTTTTTAATCACCCATATAGATGTTCTGTAGTTACTAGTACCTACTTTAAGTTTCATGCATTGGAGGAACTAGATGTTTAACATTTTACACCGCTGATTAAGCACATATCAAGTTTAGTTTATAAAAGGCCCTTCTGACTTGATGTTATTTTGTTACCACTTTTTAAAAAGTCTGCTAGCCATTGCATTTAAGAAATTTCTTCACTGAAGTCCTGTAGCATTTAGCCTCAGAGTTTGGCAAGCCTGTGAGTGTTTTAAACTAGTAAATAAAGTTCTGGAGTTGCTAGAGCTTAGAGGGCACATTTTCCCTCAATGACAAATACTGACCTGAGCACTTTGTTTGGACATTGCTATGTCAATGGAACAGCGTCTCCCACAGACACAGCTACTGCTTCTTGTGGAGGATGGAGTGATTAAGTGACAGAGGAGCTCTCTCTGGTCATCTTAGAGTCACTGCACTAATGTAGTAATCTGTAGTGTAGCAATAGCCTCTGGGATGTTAAAATATCTTCTCCCACTCTAGAATGTGGAAGACTAGAAAGTTTAAGAGTTGCACAAAGAACGTTTAAGAGTTGCACAAACTTGTGCATCTAAAACAAAGCACTGAGAGGAAGAAGTCCCCTTGTACAATGTTTGACAACAGTAGGGGGGTTTATAAGGACAACTCCTTTATTTCCCAATATGTGCTTTAGAAGGAAGGAATACAGAGCCACTGCCATCTCTGCATCCCTTCCTTTTTCTTCTTTTCTCTTCAGCATCTGAGGAAGTGAGTTGTATCTCACCAAAGCTTATACCCTAAATCAATGTTTCCGAAATGGGGTTCCGCAAAGTGAAAATAAGGGTTCCTGTGAGAAAATTCCTTTACAATAACATTTTATGATTTAAAAAAATAATAATTAATATTATGTGATTTCTGTTTTTAAAATATGGGCAATTAAACTAAAGGTTGATCTCATGAACTTGTTTTTTGTTTATTATTATCCTTACTTATTTGTGGTGGAGTTTTTCAGCTCCATATATTAGACTGTTATTAGGGGTTCTGCAAAATTCTTTCGCGTTTAAAAAGGGTCCGTGGCCAAATAAAATTGGGAAGCACTGCCCTAAATAAATATGTTAGTCTTTAAAGTGCTACTGGTCTCGAAGGGGTCCATGGCCAAATAAAATTGGGAAACACTGCCCTAAATAAATATATTAGTTTTTAAAGTGCTACTGGTCTCATTTTTGCTGAAGCAGACAAACATATCTAAAATAAGAGTTTTAGATATATTTTACCTAAGATGAGACTGTATTTCTACTTCTCTCCGCAGTTGATGTTCTACTCCTGCTTTCTCGAGCTGTGTTTTAAACAGCACCTTCAGTGCTAGGATAAATTTACTTTGCTTTTCACGAGCCAGATACACATTTCCAAACTTTCCTTTTCCCAGAGGACGGCCAATTTCGAAGTCATCAAGACACCACTGCTTTCTGTAGAAAGTTAAATAGTTTTAAGTTGCTAGAAGCCATACAAAGGAATAGAATTTCTTTTTATACTAGGTAGCATCCCAGAATAACTCCATCAAAGTCAAATTTATCCAAGATCAAAATCTGGCCTCCTTCCTACAGCCAGTCACCCAAGAAATGCAAATTATCTTTTCGAAAAGGAATGTGACATGTAAGGATAAATTCTCTGGTCAGACTTCTGTATCCACTCGTCAGTTGTGCAACGTAGACACAAATGTGCAGTCTGTACACACAAATCAAGGTGTGCACATAGTAGTGGTAGACAGTGCACACACCTAAATTTAGTGCATGTTCTCCTGCAAGCTGAGCCATACCTCTCGTCTTCCACATGCTATTAATACATTTTCCTTATACGTTTATGTATACATGCAGAGGCATTTTGCATTTAGTTTCAAAATACAAATCTTATCCAGTTTCATGGAAAAAATGATTAAGTTGTGGTTTTCCATACTAGGAAAAACAAATCTTCACTCAGGATAACTTCTTTTAAAAAAGCATATAGTTCTTTTTTGGCCAAAGAGTATGTAAATTTTTCCTCTTTAAAATAAACTATGAAACCCTTTGCTCTTGAAGGCTATCCGGTCATGAAACCAAATAAAAATTTCCTAGAACTAGGCATGTTTGATATTATTTAGTTTAAATAATTGTGTCACCGCACCAAATCTTAGTGGTTACACGATTATTCCATAGTCCTTGGGGGCAGGAAAGGCAGCAGTGCAAGGTGGCAGACAGGAGCCAGTCCACAAGAAGAACCAATTTAAAACCGAGCTCCCTGCACAGGCCAGCTCCGGGTGGCAGACAGGAGCCAGTCCACAAGAGGAACCAATTTAAAACTGAGCTCCCTGTACAGGCCAGCTCCTGCCATCCATGGAGCAGCTTCTGTCCGTGGGAGCCTGAGTTCTGGCATCCAGCTTGTCCCACCTTCCATGCTGCTGCCTCTGATGCAGAGGGAACAGTACAGGCAGGGAAAAGAGGGAGTGCCTCTGTGAAGCCGGTGCCTTGGGGGGCAGGTTGACTTTTAATCCAGCTCCCTCCCCCCAAGCACCAATTCCCGCCTGCCCCCCTTCCCCTGTGGAAGGCAGCAAGGGGGGACGGGGACGGAAGGAGCTGGGGTTCCACAGAGCCTGCTCATGCAGAGAGCTGTCTTAAAAATCTGGTTCTCTGTGTGTACCGGCTCCTGCCTGCTCCCATCACCCTCTGAGCTGCTGCCTCAATCAGGTGCTTGTAGGAGCCAACTTAAAATCCGACTCACCAGCCCTCCCACCTTCCAGTTACCTCTCATATAGAGGCAGCAAGGAGGGGGAAGTGCGTGTAGTCATTTGGATTAACCGATAAATCCAGGCTTATTGGTTAATCGTTTACATGACTATATGCTAATATCCCTACCTGGAACTTCATGAAATTACCTCATTCATAGCTCCAAATATTGTATCTACAGATGCAGAGACAGTATTCCTGATAAAAACAATAGTTGTGGTTGAGCCTGTTTGTTAAGTCTCAAATATTCTGCAAGCAAAAATGCTACATTGTTTAGTCCTAAATACAAAGTGTGAAGCTTGGGCTCCAAAGATGTCAAATATACCCATGGACTTACTTTTTAGTTTCTTCATTTTTCTGGCCAGATGTCCCTTCTGCTTGGTTTTTTGCTGCACATAAGGAGAATTGAATGCCTTCGTAACTATAGTTCATAAACACAACTACCACCACCATCTGAGACAAATCATTTTGGAAGCAATCTAGACAGACACAAGGCTCAAACACTAAGGACAATCTGAACCTGTTTAGTATTTTACTGATATGAGATTAATATAGAGTTGCAGTAGGAGAAACTAATCTGGCCTGAGGAAGAGTAGGCCTCATCTCATTAGTTTCAAGAAATTTTTTTAATCCAGGAGAACTTTCTATTCAAGTCTAAACTATCCTTCTAAATTGTCTTCAAGTTAATAAAAAGTACAACTAGTACAATCTTGTAGATTGTAAGGTATTTTGGGTAGGACTTTTTAATTCTGTGCTTGCACCGCACTTAGCACACCTAGGTCCTGGTCCGTAACTGATAATCAGAAGTGCTAATAAAAATAATAGAAAAAAATTATAGTTCAAGATAAATTTCTCATGTATGTCAGAAGAATACATGCTGATTCAATTAATATGTAGCAGTTGACCACAGATTTTTAGATGAAATATTTATTTACACATTTATATTTACCAGTGATTTTGCTTATATTTACCAGATACTGAGGCTTGTTGAGATTCCTCATTGTTTTTACTTGGAGCCGGAGGTCCAGAAATTGGCTGAACTACAGAAGTTGGTCGAGATTGCTGCATCAGTAGGTTTTGAGACTGTTTCTGGTTTGACAGTGCAGATTTTTGAACCTGTGACTGTACAGGAACTCGCTGAGCCAAATTTGAAGGGCAAAAAACACGCTGTGCTTGGATTCCGCTTCCAGGTACCCAATTCTGAGGATGTTGCTGATGCACAGGGAGCCGTTTTGGCCCATCCCCAATAGAAGGTAGAATCTTAAAAACCAAAAAAAAAAACCAAAAAAACCCCCCACATTTAATTACAATAGAACAAATACAACATAATAGAAAGTTATATAGTTTATTCCTAGGTTCTGTCCATTTATTAATGGAGGCAAGAGTTCTTCCTGCCTATATATGGACTAATTTGCTCCATTATACTAAATTCATATACCCATGAAGAATTAAAAAAAAAAAAAAAGGATATCATAAAATTATAGAAATGTATGACTGGAAGGAATCTTGATGGGTCATCTATTCCAGTCCCCTGCATTGAGGCAGGAGTAAGGCTTGGTATATACTAGCTAGGTTGTCATAAAGCAGCTTATGTCAACCTTAATCTGTAAACATCTACATGAAAATGTAGCTTCTACTGAGGTAAGTTGCCCATTACATTGACATGCCATAAGGCACAGCACTTAGGTCAACGTAGTTAGGGCAATGGAGAATGTGTCTAGACACAGCATTACTTACTTTGCAGAGGGGGCCTGGCTGTCAGTGTGCCATAATGGCCCGCACAATTAAAACAGTGGAAGCGTTCCTTTTGAGGAAGCACAGCGTGGACATAAAACACCACTTTATTTCCTGTGGTGGCTGTATGTTGATTTAACTTAAGATGACTTTATTTTGAACTGTAGACATTAGGAATGTGAAAGCATAAATGTGTACCCAGTTACCTGATGAGCATTGTTTAACATGCACGGTTACATGCAGCCCCCCCATGAGCATTGTTTAACATGCACGGTTACGTGCAGTCCCCCCTCCCCCACACACTATTGTCTCTGTATCAGCATGGGTGTGTATGTGTGTGTGTGGAGGGAGCTTCCCACCCACATGTAAAAGTGTAACAATCTATTGGTTACTGGTCTCCTTACTGTAGGTTGACTAGCTAAGGAAGGCTTCCTCCCTGTCCCAGCACCACGGATCATGCTGTGGTCCAGAAGCAGATGTGGGCTCCTAGGCAGGGAGAGGGGTGAAATGGCAGCACAGGACTCTGCATGCTGCCCCCATCCCGAGAAGGCAACTGGGGATGTCAACGTGTAGTCGAATACACTATTAACGGATAAGGATTAACTGATAAACCCAGGCTATTGAATACATACATTCTCCTTCCCCCCGCCCCCAACCTCAGTGCCTCTGTATCAGAGGCAGCAAGGAGGAGGAGGGAGCTGGTGCCTGTGGGGAGCTGATTTTTAATCCAGCTCCCCACCAACACCAGATCCACCTGCCTCCTGACCCCAGTGCTGCTGCCTCTCAGAGAAGCAGCAGTGGGCAGCGTGAGGGGGCAAGTGGAAGCCTATATACATGGGAAGCGGGATTTTAAGCCAGCTTCCCACACGGATTGACTCTCACACGCCACTTGCCACAGGATGGTGGGCAGGTGGGAGCTGGCCTATCAGAGGCAGCAGCATCAATGGGAAAGGGGAAACTGCTTCTAGGGATGCTGGCATAGCCTCTGTCCAGAGGTAGCTCAGACCCCCGATAGCAGGGGGCTCCCTGGGAGTGGGGCCAGGAGCGCACTGGCTGCCAGTCCTGCCCCCAGGGACTGTCAAAATTTGATGCGGTTACATGACTATTCAATTAATCACTAACATCCCTAGGGGCAACACAAGAAAAAAAAAAACGTTTTAAATCCACTGATCTAGACCACCCTTACAGGTATTTGTCTATCCTATTCTTAAAAGCCTCTGACAAATTCCACAACCTCCAATAAGCAATTTATTACAGAATTCATCTACTCTTACAGTTAGGAAGTTTATCCTAATATCTAACCTAAAATCTCCCTTGCTTCAATTTAAATCTACTACTTCTTATCCTGTCCTCAGTGGATAAGGAGAACAATTTTATCCTCCTCATTCTAACAACCTTTCATGCACTTAAATGCTTATATTCCCTCTCTTCTCTAGACCAGTGATTTTTAAAAACTTTTTCTTGTGACCCAGTTGAAGAAAATGATTGATGCTTGTAACCCAACAAAGTTTGACTAAAGTGCCAGCTCCTATGTGGGGCCAAGGATTTGGGGTACAGAAGTGAGCTGGGTTTGGAGGAAGGGGCACAGGGTTACCTATGACAGCTCCTAGTCAGCAAGCAGCCACAGTGGGGGTGCTAAGGCAGGCTTCTTGCCTGTCCTGGAACTGCACATCACACCGCACCCAGAAGATGCCGGCACAGGCCCGGCTCCTAGGCAGGCAAGCATACTGCTCTTGCCCACAGACAACATTGCCCCACCCTGAGCTCTTGGTCAATGGAAGTGCAGAGCCAGTGTTTTTGGTGGGGGGCAGTATTCATAACCTAATGGTCCTCTGCCTAGGAGCCAGATCTGCTGATGGCTGCTTCCAGGGCACAGTGCAGTACCAGGACAGGCAGGAAGCCAGCTTTAGTCCCCCTCCCACCCCCACTAGTCATCCTACAGCAAGGGGACCCAGTGCCTGACATTCAGTGGCCCAATACTGGATTGCAACTGGTAGTCTGAAAACCACTGCTCTAGACTAAAAAGAAGCCCTTTTTATTGTAGTATGGTGCTCAGAACTGAACACAATACTTCAGCCAGATCTTATCAATGTTGAGTGGGGTGGAAGAATTACATCTCGTGTCTTGAGATTTTTTTTTTTAAATAGTGTAACAGCACTTTAAAGACTAACAAAACATGTAGATCTTGTGTCTTGTTTGGAACATTCCCACCAATACATCCCAGAATGGATTAAGCTGCCACCCCACAAGAAAACGTTTTAACACCTACGACATGTGAAAGCAATCTATATATAGAAGCTTTACAAGTTGTATTCACAATAGTGAGCTACTGACAAAGCAGCTTGGTGAATATTCCATGTCAGAGTATAATGCTTCAATACAAGAGTTGGATAATTATCTCAGATAATTTGTAGAATCTTTGTCTGATCATACCAAATAAAATGTGTTTGCCTCGTAAGTGTACAAGACTTCTTTACCTTAACACTGTGACCAGGAAGCCCATTGTGGTTCTCTTTACCATTTTTCTCCATGTTGCCTAAATAGAAAACATTTAATTGCAGAGACATTATTAAATGGAAATTTTTATAAACAGAGCACCCTTCTTGTCACGCCCTGCACTTCTTCCTCATGCCCCCCACCCCCTTACGTTCTGCTATCCTCATCCACACCACCACATCCAGTTTTCACACTCACGCTACTGGTAGTCTCCCACATCCGGTCCTGCTCAATCGCCTCTCGTTACCACCGGGAGAGTAGATGATGATGGTTCCCAGCCGCCAGAAAAATCCGAGTCTAGGAACCCCGTGTCCATTTCAGCTGCTCTTCCTCCTCGTACAACCCCCTGCCCCTGGATCCTGCCCCTCAAATCCAGCTCCTCGGACAACCCTCTCCCCCATTACAAGGCGTCACCTCCCCGCAGCTCCTGCTCACAAACTGCCTCAAATGCAACTGCACAGGCCTCACAATTCCCCTTCTGCTGCAACGCTCGCCCACCTGCAGGAAACTCCCTCCCTGGGAAACCCTCCGTCGCTGCAACCCCTCCATAAACT